AGCCCTTACAGACCCAATTCGACTTTACAAGTCAGGAGACAAAGCCGTGCACCTGTCTGCAGCTATCTGTACTACCTGAGTGTGAGGTCGGGTTATGGAATTGTCCCAGCGCCAAGCTCCGAAAGAGAGGATTCTCAGGTACGAAGTAGGTGTATGGAATGTCAGCTCTCTTCAAAGCTTCAAAATCCAGTTGTTTGCATCGTGGCACGTTGTTGTTGTTGTTTGCCATTGAGTTGCTTCTGACTCATCTTGACCTTCTGAGCAACAGAACAACATACTACCTGGTCCTGCGCCATCCTCCCAATTGTCACTATGTTTAGCCCGTTGCTGCAGCCACTGTGCCAGTCCATCGTGTGGAGGGTCTTCTTTGTCCCTGCCCCTCTGCTTTACCAAGTGCGCCGCCCCTTAACCAACAAGGGAAGGTTCCGCTCTGATTTGCATTGCTCTCCTGCTACCAGCTTGAAACGTGATTTTTACGCGGGACATCATGAAAGAGACACACCAGGTTTCATCATAAACACAACCTAGTAGAGGCTTCCACCTGCTGCAGCTCACTTTGGACTCCCTGCTGTTGGTGTGGGGTGTGATCACGGCAATCTCAACTCGTAGCCTCTCCTGTGACTGCACAGAACTGCCCCCCAGGGTTTTTTAGGCTGTAATCTTTCTGGGAGCTGAGAGCCAGGCCTTTCTCCATCAGAACCATGGATGGGTTTGAACCGCCAACCTTTTCGATAGCACTAGAGAACTTCCCCATACACTACCAAGGCTCCTTGGGCAGCACAGTAGGGGATAAGCGAGAATTCACTGCTCGGCCATGAAACAATGCCATCAGAGAGGGCAGATGTTGGGAAAGGCTTCGCACCTCAGCCTCCAAAGACTGGACCGGGATTCCAGAAACAGCATCTGCATCGGAGAGGCCATCCCACAAAGCTAGTACGGGACCCAACATGGAGTTCCTGGGGCGCAGAGGGTAAATGCTCCATTCCGAACTGAAAGGTTGGTGGCTTGATTCCAGTTTCCACATGAACAATCTGTGACGTTGCTTATGTTCTTTGAGTGGGGCAGCCCTTCCCAACCTCCTGAAGAAGCTCACTGACCCCAAGGTCTCCTTTTTGGAGTGCCAGTTGTCACTTTAGCAGAGCCCCTCTGGCAGAGTGCTTATGCCTTCAGCTTCAATCCTAAAGGTCAGCAGTTCGAAACCACCAGCTGCTCCGTGGAAGAAAGCCAGCGTTCCTGACTCCCATAAAGAGTGACAGCCTTGGAATCTCGCAGGGGCAGTTCTACCCTGTCGTATGGAGTCCCTGTGAGGAGGCAGGTATTATCACTTTGATGCCATCTGAGTGGTTTCTAAAAGTTTAAAATGGTTTTATTGGCATCTACGTCACACACCATACGATTTATGGTATGTGCAGTCATTGCCACAATCAATTTCAGAACACTTTCTTCCCATACTCTTTGTTGTTAGCTCCCACGTCCCCTCATCCTCCCCAGCCATGCCCCCCTAGACTGTTACTGTCTCTGCAGCTCGACCTGCCCTGGATTGCACACACAGAAAATCATACAAAGCAAGCATTCAACCAACAAAACAACAACAAAAACCAACAGCAATGACTAGACAAAACATGGAAAACCTCCATCAAAGAGAAAGCAGCAAACAATAAACAATGGAACAACTTTAACATGGGTCAAAAGGGAGATCAACGATAGAGCATTGCATTCTAACCTAACTACATCTGCCATAGTCGATGTTACAATGCTCTTTATCTGATAGAAAGGCTACTCACAGCCCTCCAGTGTGGTCAGAGCGAATTCACAGGAGGCTCAATCTACATGAGGATCCTACAATGAATCTTGGGCTTCCACTGTCATCCACGGCCTTATGCAAGCCAACTGTTCAGATGAATAGTTAAAAGAGCATAATGTTCAAGCCAGACTTTCCTTTTTAAAAAAAATCATTTTATTAGGGGCTCATACAACTCTTATCACAATCCACACATATATCAATTGTGTAAAGTGCATTTGTACATTCATTGCCCTCATCATTCTCAAAACATTTCCTATCCACTTAAGCCCCCGGCATTAGGTCCTCATTTTCCCCCTCCCTCCCCGCTCCTCCCTTCCTCATGAGCCCTTGATAATTTATAAATTCTTATTTTATCATATCTTGCCCTGTCCGACGTCTCCCTTCACCCACTTTTCGGTTGTCCATCCCCCACGGAGGAGGTCACATATAGTTCCTTGTAATCAATTCCCTCTTTCCTACCCACTCTCCCTCTACCCTCCCTGTTTCGCCACTCACACCACTGGTCCTGCAGGGATCATCTGCCCTGGATTCCCGGTGTTTCCCACTCCTATCTGTACCAGTGTACATCCTCTGGTCTAGCCAGACTTGCAAGGTCGAATTCGAGTCATGGTAGTGGGAGCAGGGAGGAAACATTTAGGAACTAGAGGAAAGTTGTATTTCTCATCGTTGTTACATCGCACCCTGACTGGCTGGGCAAGGGGGCAGGGGTGGAGAGGGAGTCCAATCGCCACATGGAAGAGAGGGAAGCAGTTGTCACTGAGGGGCCCCCAGCTCATGGTGACCCCGTGTGTGTCCGAGTAGAACCATGCTGCTCCAGCGTGGATTTTTATAGAAGTCAGTTGCCAGGCTGTGGCAGTTACACAATCTACTGTCAACTTGCAAAGGGGTGGAGTCTAGCCTGTCAATCAGGTCACCGCTTGATGGCCTCCTTTGGAGGTGTGACCAAGACAAATGGCTCACATTACTTCCCATCACTACTCCGTGAGGGCCCACCACCACCTGCTTCGCTGAGCTGCACTGCTGGCCTCTGGTGCCCCTCACCACTTCATCTTCCTCCTGGCTGCTGCCTCGGGCTGGGGCTGGTGACAATGTGAGTTGGAAGGACATTTAGTATATGAACTATCCCCCGGAAGTGGTTGGACTGAATTCTCTGTACTGCTGCATGGACTAATTTGCTGTTATAGTCCCTTTCTCCGTGTAAACTTATCCCTTTACATATATATAATCATGAAGTGCCCTGGTCTTGCTTCTCTTCAGAGAACCGTGCCTAACACAATTTGTCAAGGCCACGCACAAGTGACTGAAATTTCTGTTCTAGCAGCCGCTGGTCCCTACAGCGCCTCGGCAAGAGCCGAGTGGACAGAAACGTTGATCCAAACCCAAATGCCGGCCGCTTGGGCTGCCATGGTAAGTCAGGTGACTTCAGCCCTTATCATGTATGTTTGCAGAGAGTCTTGATGCAAGCTGGGAGAGGGGAAATGGGTTTAGAAAACATGACACGGGAGAACAAACCAAAACCCAGATGTTGAAAATACACTAAGACTTTAAACAACAGTCATCTCCTGCTTTTCATGCCTATTTTCTACACCACCCCCTTTTCCTTGAGGGAAATCTCACATGTCCTAGAAATGTAGACATGCTCCTGTAAGAAGTGATGGAGAAAACAAACCAGGAGTTGCTGATGGAATTGCCTGTCTGGCCCTGAGTTATCCCCAAGGACGGTAAAAACTCCTCCTAAAGACCAAACCAAGCAAGCCCACTGCCGGTGAGTCCGCTGCACCTCACAGTGAGGCTGTAGAGCAGAGTCGAACTAAGCAGATCGCCTCGTCTTCCTCATGAGGAGTGACTGAGAGGTTTGAACCGCTGCCCTCCGGGCTTGCAGGCCGCTGCTCCACCCACTGCCCACAGGGACCCTCGATGAACCCTCCCTGAAAAAGAAGCTCCGGGGCCAGCTGGGTGGGCAGGCTTTGCTTAGACAGAGCTCGCCCACACCCTGACGGGGAATGTGAGAAGCACGCAGGGAGCCGGGACCATGTGCTAAATCCGGAGCAGAGGCAAGTGTGCAACGCCGCGCAGCCTCCATCTGCGCAGGGGCCCTGCCGGCTGGCGCAGGAATGAGAGACCCTGTTGTCGGACAGCAAAGGCAGCTGGCTCCCGGGGTAAGTGTTTAAACTCGTAAAACAGGTGACAGGGCATTCTTTCTCCATGTGCAAAATGGGAGGCTGCCCATTCCTGAGATGCCTGCCGCTGCATGCTAGGCGCCATTGGCTGCCAGGTAGTCCTTTAAAGCCCAACTTCACCCTGCCAAGGCACACGGGTGCACGCGCATATGCACACACATATCTACACACGGGGAGCCCCACGCAGCCAAAGGCCTTGGGGTGCTACAGAGCCGGTTCCCACAGCACCTGCACACCCCACGTCAGAGTTGCCCCCCAGTCAGAACCCATGAGCAGCAGCTCTGTGCGCCCCAAGGTGACCTTCCACTTGGTGAGAACAGACACATGGCAGCTGTGGGGGGCTGGGCTTCCCAGACAAGCTTGTCACGTGCAGATCCTAGGGAGTGGGGCTGCCCTTGGGGGCCCGGGAGTCCTGCCTCAGAGTTGATGTCAACGTTGAGCCCTGTGTCTCAAAGGCGGTAAACTGAGGGCTATGGGGAAACCAGGGTGATGGCTAGGGCCCAGGGGATACCTCGGGCGAGTGCGAATGATTTAAGATGGATTGTGGGGCCGGGTCACAGCACGGTGGATATTGTAAAAGCCACGGAGTCCCATGCTATGGGCCAGTGCGTTTTCTCCCAATAAAGCTGTTTAATTTTGTCTTTCAGTAAAAGCCACCCAAACCCCTTTTCAACCATGGAGTTTGGAGCGTGGAGTCCCATCAGGCTCTGCGTTGCCAGGAAGGAGGCGGGAGCGGCCTTTTGTTCGGGTAGGGGGAGTTCTGGGAGGGGGCGGTCACTGAGTGTGTGATGGTGGGATATTTGGGGAGAGGACCGCAGGAGGGGTGGCACAACATGGGAAGAGGGGCCCAGGTCACCGAGTTGAAAGGGGGGCGTTGTGCTATTGGGAACCGTCTCCGTGTGAACAGCATCACGGGGCGCGCGCACGCACGCACAAACCCCTGTGTGTAGGGACTACTTTTCTTAGTCAAACGCCCACGTGCCTCTCAGACGGCATCATGGGCACTTTGCACTGACCTTTCTGCTTCTCCCACACCTCTGGTCTCGTGGGAAGAGACTTCACTGCCTGGGACACTTGGTGATGCTCCCTCCAGGGCAGTGCCGGGTTCTGGGGTCTCTCTGGGGTAGGGAAAGCAAATGAGGGATTCGTTACAGTCTATGGTAAGATGCGCACATCTCTCTACATCCTGTTGAACACGCCCATTTCCCAACTCATTCTGCCCATGCCCTGTCCCCAACATGCAACTGAAAAAAGTAACCCTGGCCCTCAACAGCTTTGAGATGCCTTTGGGCTATGTGGGCCCCAACTGCCATGGCTCGCCCTCATTCCCTAGGCTCCCGGGAAAGCCTGTGCTTGGCCACGCCCCGAGGCCCCCAGTCCGACAAGGTCAGTTTGAGGGCCACGCCCCTTTGCTTTCGGGATCTCAGCAACTTTAAGCATTCAGATGTGGACACTTAGAGTATAAAAAGCCATCCACCCACTGGGGGCAGAGGGCGGTGGGGCGGGAGTTGTGAAAATAGGGGGGGGTGACAGCGCTGGGAAGCAGTACCTGTCGGCTTGGTGCCCTCCGGGAGTCCGGTTTGGCAGCTTCTGGTCCTGGGTTCCGTCAGGTTTCAGAGGGACACCCACTTTCTTGTCCCCGGGAGGAGCGGGGCGTGCAGGCTCCGGGTGCTGCTGTGCGGCCTGCTGCTCCCCCGCCGCAGGGTCTACGCGCTGGGCGGGAGCGTCTTCCATCCCCAGAAGCCTCTCCCAAGAGGCCCCTGGCAGCTCTGCCGAGTCACTAGCTACGCCAGCTAACACCCTTGTAGTACCTGTTCTGGGCAGGTCACCACATGCACGTGCCCCCGTCTCAGCTGTGCTCACAGTGATGTCACCCTTGGCTGCCTGAGCTGCGCTGGCCACGCTGGGCTCTGGGGGACCGCCGGCCCCATCACCAGCAGGTGGCTCAGGGCTACTTGGGGGGCCCGGCCTGCTCACACCCTCAGATGTGCCAGGGACTCGGGGTCCAGCCTTGGACACAGACGAGCCTTCCAGATGGAGAGAATACTCTCCGGGCGCATCGGCCGGGGCCCCTGTACAGGCAGAGCCCCACACACTGTCTTCCTGGTGGCCGCTGTCACAGAGTGATGCCTCCTGGGGCTCTTCCCCAGAAGGAATGCCATCTCTGGGGCCCTGGGGAGGCCCCTGGGAGTCCACAGCGCCCTCCACAGGAAGCTCTGGAGAAACCAGGCCCCTTCCTTGCTCTGCAAGGTCCTGGCCTCCAGGCGCCCGGCTGGTTCCTGAGGTTGCCTCTGGCATCCCTGGTTCACTGGGCACCTGTGGGGCACTATGCCCATCATCCGCGCTGGCCTCCAGGAGGCTCCCCTCCTCAGGGGCCCTCACCAGCTTGCCTGGGGCTGCCTCCTGGGGGGTCAGGGGAGACATGCCAGCCTCTTGTTCCTGCTTCTCCGTGTCTGCCAGGAGTGAGACCTGAGGTGCAGGGAGAGGGGGTGCCATGCCGGGAGTTCCATCCAGCAGCTTCTCTGAGCTCAAGGACAAGAGGTTCTTGTCCCCCACCCTGCCCCCAGCATCTGCCTTGGCTCCTGGTGCACTGGGGGGCCGGTCGGCAGCCAGGGTCCCCAGTGCAGACTTTTCAAAGATCTTGGTGATGTGCTCCCTGAAGTCTGGGAATCCGGCAGTCTTGGTGGTCTGCTTGGAGGTGATGCTCTCGCGCCCTGGTGCACCCTGTCTCAGACTCTCGGGGGGCCCCGGCACCCCCTCACTGCTGTTCTTCACCTGGGCAGGGCATGCTGGCACCGCCCCAGGCTCAGCACCTGGCCCGGAGGTTGTGGCCACCACCTCCTCCCCTGGGCTCAGCATCCTGTCCAGATAGGGCACTGAGTCCATACCGGGCCTGGCTCCAGGGCCTCTGTGGCTGTGGTCCTTCCCCGTCGGCTCCACCGAGAACTCCACTTCAGCCTCTCCTGGCTGCCAGAGGTAGGCCGGGCAGCTGGCAGCCAACTTCGTGGGGTGGGCAATTTCCAAGGACGTGGAACAAGGGCTTTCCTGGGGGTCTTGGCAACATGAAGGGGAGGTGGTGGTCTCCTCACTGCTGTCCATACTTCTCTGGGCCACCCCCTCAATGTGCAGGTACGGAGTTTCTGGGGCCGCCTGGGAGAGTGGCCCTGCCAGCTGCAGGCTCTGTGGGGCAGGGACTGCCCGGTGCGTGGAAAGGCCAGGGGTGCCCCGCAGCTCTCCCCCAGGCAGGGAGGTACCCCAGTCGTCGGCAGGCACTTGCCCAGGTTGGCGGGGCTCCCTGGCAGTGGCGGTGGCTGTGTCCTCTGTGCCGGTGGTGGCACAGCACTCAGGCTGTGGGAGGCCACAGCTCAGAGCAGTGGCTCCAGACTCCTCCGGGGTCCCAAGCATGCCCAGGTTCCCTTCTTCAGCCTTTTCTCCCGTCCCAGCAGCCACCTCTTCAGAGCCTGGCTCCACAGCCTCCAGGACGCCGCTGAGAAGTCTGGGCGGCCTCTCCATCTTCTCCGGCGAAGCGCCTAGCGCTTGCTGCCTGCTGGCCTCCCCGTCACCAGTCGCCTCCCTCTGGGGGACATCCAGGGTGGCTGTGATGCCGGAGCCCTGCGGGCCGGCCACCACATCCAGGAGAGGGACTGAGTTTGGACGACAGGGCGGCACCCCCGCTGAGCTCCCATGTGCCAGCTGACCTGAGCCCCCGGGCGGGGGCTGAGCACCAATGGCGTCAGCAATGCCTTCCCCTAGACAAGCTTCTTCATGCTGCCCGCCTACCCTCGGAGTGCCAGGCGGCTCCTGTTGGGGCTTGCGTGGCCTCTGCCCGGCACTGAGGCTTTCTTCCCGGCCCAAGGCCCTGGTAGGAGGAGGGTCTTCCAAAGCATCTGCAGCCGGAGCTGAGACCCCCAAGGGCTGATTACCATCGAGGGCTCCCTGCCGCTCATCCTCCCCCGGAGCAAGCAACAACGTCTGCACTGTGGGAAAACTTTCCGGAACGGTGTTCCCCCTGGATGGTGGTCTTCGAGGACCGGCCCGATTGTCTTTGGGGAGCCAACTTGGGGATTCCGGTGTGGAAGCCCACTCCTGTTGTCTCTGAGGGGACGGGCAGGCATCTCCCTCTGGCAGATGGTCTTGGGGAGGCGCAGCATCCTGGTTCTTGAAGCCCGTCGCTCCCAACTGGGTCTCCCCATCGTCCTCGGGTGACAGAGGCTTCCCTGTGGGCATGTCAGACTTGTCAGATGCTTCCTCATCAAACCAGGATGTCTGGGGACTCGTCTCAGATGACAGCGAGGGTCTGGCGGATGGAGCTGCCAATACCCCGTGATCCTCAGGGCGGGGTAGCCCTCCCTGCTGGCTGGGAAACCTGAGCTCACCTGCTGAGGTCTCCCCCTCTGCGGGGGACTGTGGCCCATCAGCGTGGACTTCCGGCCCAGCTGTGTCAGGCCCCTGGCTCTCCACATCATGGCCACCTGGCCCCTGCCTGGATGGGGGGCTCAGCGGCTTCATTTCCGTTGAAGGCCCCATCTCCTGGACCGTGGGCCCAACCTGGGCTGCAGGTGTTAACAGGGCATTTTCTCTCTCGGGCTCCGTTCCTCCCTGGGGGCGGCGAGGACTCTCAGTCTGCAGGCTGGACCCCACCCGTGCAGCTCCATCGGGAACAGCTTGGTCACCAGCCCCATCCGGCCGAGGGGGCAGGATGTCCTCCTGCTCACGAAGCCAGGCCAGGGAGCCGGATGCAACAACTAGGCGGACGTCTCCGGCCACCTCGCAGGCCTCTGGGCCCGGAGATGGTTCTTCTGGCGGTGATCGGGGGCCGCCCACGGGCCCGGGTCCCTTGTTGCATGGTAGGGCGGGCTGTGGGCAGTGAAGGACATTGCCATCCATGTCACCTGGTAGCTCTGAGTCCTCCTCTCCAGACACCCCTGTTCCAGGAGGGGTGCTGCTGTCAGGGGGCTGTGGAGCTTGGCCCCCTCCTCCAGGGTCGCCCCCAGGCCGTCTGTCTTCCTGCCTGGCTGCTGCTGGGCCCTCAACACCTTCAGGGGCCCCAGCGCCCACCTTCGCCTGGATGGTGCTTTGATCTGTGGCACCGAGAGAGGGAGGGGTTGGAGGGGTGCCCAGACCATTCTCCATGGGGAAAGGGGCAGGGACCTCTCCCACACACTTCTCCAAGGCCATCAGCCCCACCTCTGCCAGTTGTCTGTCCAAACCCAGAGGAAGAGCGGATGTCTCTGCATTGGGCCCTGCCTCCTGGGCCAGTGGGCCAGGCTCCTCCACAGCCTCGGGGCTGGATTCCAGGAGTGGGGGTCCCATGGGGGCCAGTGGGGGAGGCTCAGCACCCACACACAAGCCTCCTTCCAGCTGATTGCCTGCTGCCACTTGGACACTGTCACTGTGACTGGGCTCGGCCCCTTGAGCTGTCTGTATGGGGCTCTCAGCATCACTGGTGTCCACCAGCTCCTTCCAGGAGCCTCCAGCCCCCGGGGCCAGGGCATGCCCCTCTGCAGGTGGCAGGGGTGCTGTGATGTGCTGCTGACAATCCTCTGGGGAGGGGGCACTGACTGCAGCTGCCCCCTCGGTTCCCCTGGTGGCCCCGGAGCCCCTTGGAGCAGAGTGGCTGGCCCCAGGGAATTCCTGCACCTCCACCAAGTCTTTCTCCCTGTCTGAGGCTCTCAGGGTGACATCTGGTGGGGTGGGGGTCTCCTGTGTAATGGGGAGGCCCGGTGTACCAACTGAATTCTCCTCGCCTGGCACAGCTGCTTCTGGGGCCTGGGGGGCTCCCTGTACAGAATCCACCCCTGGTCTGGATTCTGGGGAGACAAAGGCACCAGCAGATGTTCTCCTTGGGGACTCTAAGGCATCAGAGCAGTCACCCTCTCCACACAGCTGCCCTGTTGTAAGCTCCTGGGGACATGCTGCAGGTGAAATTGCTGGCCACTGGTCCATGAGGCCAGGGAAGGCAGAATCTTTTCTCCCGGCTGTCACCTCCTCTGGCTTGTCGCTGGAGGCGGTGGCAGCCATACTGTGCCAGGCAGGGCTTCCCCCTGCAGGGGCACATGCTGCCATGGCACCCTCTGGGACATCTGGGGAAGGTCCTCTCCTGGGACCTTGGGCGAGGGACCCATCTTCCTGGGCTGCTGCTAGGGGGCCCTCAGCAAAGGGCATGGAGACCTCTGGATTCTGCTGCCCCTGGGCTGGTGAAGAGCAGGATCCTGGGGACACTCCTGGGTCCTCGGTGTCCTGTGGGTGCTTCTTTGCCTTGGTCACCTCTCGGGACAGGATACTTGGGACCAGGCTGGCTTCCGGCTCCGAAGAAAAGTGGGAGCCTCCGTCCCCAACGCTGCCAACAATGAAAACATGGAATGTCGTGTTGGTTTGTATGGCCTTTGAGAATAGAAGAACTCAGCAGGCAGAAGCAACACACACGCACACACACACACCAAATGGCCACCCAAACTAGTAAACATGCTGTCCCTCGCCAAGCAATTCCATCATCTGTGGCAAGCCCCCCTACACCCCGCCCCCCTAACCTTGCTACAGACACTCCTTTCCATCAAAAATCAAGAGTAGACCAGAGCAGAGGCTGGCTCTGTTGCAGGGAGTTTACAGGGAGGTCCTGAGCAAGCCTTGTGAAACATAGCCGGTAGCACCAAGGCACAGGGGGGAAAGCCAGGCCTGGAAGCAAAGCTATTCATGGCCGTCCTGAACTTGACCCTTCCCATGATGCGGCAAAGACTACTGAAAGTACCAGGGACCGCCAGAAGATCAAACGACCCTGTCCTGGAAGAAGTGCAGCCTAGCTCGAGTGGCAAGCCTGGCGAGACTTCGTCTCACGTACTTTGGACATGTTGTCAGGAGGGACCAGTTCCTGGAGCAGGACAACATGCTTGGGAAAGTGGAGGGCCAGCCACAAAGAGGAAGGCCCTCCATGAGCTGGCCTGACACAGTGGCCGCAACAGTGGGCTCAGACACGAGAGCCATTGTGGAGACGGCGCAGGACCTGGCGGTGTTTCCTTGTGTTGAGACTTGGAACCGACTCAAGGGCACCTAGCAACACTATTGAGGACCCCTAGTGGCACCTATCAAGCACGGGACTGCTCATCGTAAGGTAGGTGATTCAAGCCCATCAGCCGCTCCAACCGAGAGGGATAAGGCTGTCGGCCTCCATAAAGGTTTACAGCCTCGGCAACGCTCTGTCGCGTCACCACGAGTCAGAACTGACCGGATGGCATTGGCAGTTTAGGGGAGGACAATTAGAAGAAAGGATCCCTGACGATGCACTGGTTAATTGCTCAGCTGATAAGGTCAGTGGTTCTAATCTGCCAGCCACTTTGCAGGAAAAAAAGAGGCAGGTGAAATTGGGCAGTGCGAGTCCATAGATTCCAGACCTGGAAAGCCACAGGCAGTTCTGCTCTTGTCTGGCAGGGTCACCAGGCCTGGGAATTGACTCAGCAGAAGTGGGCTGGGTCGGGTTTATAGTGAGAAGAATAAATCAACATTTATTTCTATTTAGCTGTGGAATTTCTGCATGTGGCTGACATATAATTCTTGAGAGTTAAATTACCTTCACTTTGTCATACGCGATGTTGACCATACCTGCTTGGCAAGGTGCCACAGAGGTAAGAAACCTGCTGGGAACGTAGAGGAACCTGGAGCAGAATGACCGGCTGGCTGTGTACAGCCAACTATCCGGGTACCATAAAGGGGTGATCCCACGCTGTCCTGGGGCCCCGTGGCCCAGTCCATATGTGTTGAAGGCCACTCCTTTATTTAAAGTGAGGCATGGCCACATGGGGTCGGGCAAGCTATTGGGAGGTTAGGAAAGTCCTTTTCAGTTGGTGAAGACAAAACTGACGGTCAGAAAGGTAAAGCTGCACTTAATCCACAATGACAAGTTCAAAGGCAAAGTGAATTAATAAAAAGATAATTTAATTTTTTAAATAAATAAATAATAATAATGGGCCAATCTACATATTTGGAAAATGGAGGAGAAAGGTAAGAAAAATGATCTCCCCATAATCATAACTTTCCGTGGTCGAGAGAATAACTTATTTTTCCCCTTTACCGCATACTTTGGACATGTTAGCAGGAGAGACCAGGCGCTGGAAAAGGACATCAGGCTTGGATTGAAAATGCCAGGCCTAAAAATTGAGGAGCTGATACCAAGGGCTCAAGTAGAAAGAGTTTTGAGAATGATGATGGCAGCAAATATACAAATGTGCTTGACACCATGGATGGATGGATGGATTGTGATAAGAGTTGTACGAGTTCCCAATAAAATGATTTTAAAAATTAAAAAAACCATGCCTTTGGTCCTACGCACCTTAGTCCTCAAAGTAAAAAAGAGAGTTGTATGAGCCCCTAATAAAATGATTTAAATAAAAACTGGCAAAAAAAAAAAAGAGGGAGAGAGAAAACTCCCCGGTTGTCACCCTCGCGTAACCAGGCCCAGTGTGGGACAAACTGCTGACCACAGGCCCCTCAGCAGAAAGGCCTGGAATCTACTTCTGAAGTCAGCCGCTGCGAACCCGATGGACACACGTGGGCTCTCCAAGACTGCTTGGGTTTTGCCGCACCAGAGAGGAGGGATGCAGTCCCCAACCTGGGCAAGCACCAAAGCTGGCCCATAACCAAGCTGGCGGCAGAGGCAGCCAGGCTAGCCTTTTCTGGCCCCAGAGCAGAGTCGACAAGGGGAAGCCAAGGAACCCGGAGGATGAGGTCTGCCGAGTCCTCCTCCCCAGCTGCTGAGAGGGCAGAGGGACACGGAGCCTGGCCCAGCACTGGGGTCCACGTGAGGCCACCATGGGGTGGGGTGAGAAGAACCAAGCCAGGGGCACAGAGGTGGTTCCAGCCCCGGTGGCCCCTGTGTGTCAGAGGAGAACCGTGGCCCTGGGTTCCCAGGGCTGAGTTCTGGGAAGCAGCCACCCTTCTTCTGAGGCACCCGGGTGAACCCAAACCGCTACCCTCTCACTTAGCTGCTGCGTCCACGAACTGTCAGCACCACGGAGGGTCTCTGAGCGGTGGGCCCCAGTCCCACACGCTCAGCAGGGAGGCTGTCGGCTCAGAGGGAAGCAATTGTCCTTCCTACCAGCACGGCACCTTCATTATGCCCACCATGACGCCGGTGGACACACAGTTGAGAGGCAGTACGTTTCGTGGGGTCTAACTCAGAAACGAGGCCCTCTTTTTGTCGGCTGATCTCGAAAGGGGAGCCCTGGGGGTGTCGTGGGTAAGCGTTGGCCTGTGATCCCCAAGGTCGGCAGTGAGAAACCACCAGCAGCTCTGAGGGAAAAAGATGGGGTGCCCCACCCCTGTAAGCAGTGACAGTCTTGGAAACCACAGAGGCAGTTCTACCCTAACCCATGGAAGAGCTGTGAGTCAGTATTGACTCGATGGCTGGCAGTTTGTTGCTGTTTGGTTGTCTAGAACGGAGCACGCGTGCAGCAACGCTGATCCCACTGGGACTAAAGCAAAGGGAGGCTGCTACTCAGCAGAGCCCACCCCGCGCCTCTGCAGCATTCTCCACCCTAGAGGGCTGGGGGCTCCCGCTGAACCCACCAGCCACGTCTGGGAGAGCCATGAGGCAGTCTGCTTCTGTCAAGATCTCCAGCTCTGGGAAAACCACAGGGCAGGGCCACTCTGTCCTGCCTGGTGGCTAGAGGTCAGAATTCCCTCCCCGGCCTTGGGTTTGGTTTTGCGGCCGAGCGGCTTCTTAGAGATGATGGACGCATCTCCTTTGTGGCTGTGAGCTGCCCTCGAGTAGCGACCCTCTGTCCAACAGGCACGAAGCCATCCTCACACCGTCCTGTGGTGGAGCGCATTGTTGCAACCACCATGTCCATCCATCCTGCTCGGCACCTTGAAAACACACGTGTCTTGTCCGCAGGCAACCAAAACTAATTTTCCGTGAAGAGCCCTATATGGCAGAAGGGTTAAGCACTCGGCTGCAGCCGCTCTGCGGGAGCTGGATGTAGCCACCTGCTTCAGGAAAGATGGAAGCCTTGGGACCCCCATCGGACAGCTCTCCTCTGCCCTATAGGCTCCCTGTGAGCTGGAATCGATGTGGCCATGCTAGGTCTGGTTCTGGTTTTTGGACTGGGTCATGGTCCCCACCCCCCAGAGGAGCCAGACCTAGTTTCTATCTCGCAAAACCTGAGGAGCAGCCCGTCTTTGGCGATCCACCAGAAACAAATCTGAAAACCAGATTGAAGCCACTTGCCGGGAGCAGACTTGCCCAGGCTGGGAAACTCTAAGAATGGATCTGTTGAGGCCCTGCATTTATTAAAGTTTGCACACTGCCCTTTCATACTTGGAGTCGGGCTGGAAATATGGGCAGGGGTGGGGGTGGTCCCTCTCTGAATTTAGAGGGCCTGCCTTTGTGCCCCAGGGCATTCTCCGGGGAAGGCCATCAGTGCCCAGAGCCTGCCCCTGTGCTCAGGTCACAGTCCCACAGCGGGGACCTGGGTGGAGGACTGGGCTGGCTGCAGCCAGCGTCTGAGCAGAGAACCCGGCCCTGTCTTTGTCAGTCCAGCACTGTGATGGCTTATGTGCCGCCGCGATGTTAGAAGATTTGCCCCTGGTCTTTCCAGTAACAGCAGGGCCACCATGTGGTTGTTCGGTGCCTCGTTGGCTCTCCATTTCTCCTTGGCAGAAATGGAATCTGCATGTAAATGAGAGTATCTCTTAAGCATCTCAAGGCAGGGCTACTGCAGGGTCTGCACACAAGGGGCCTCAAACATCCCCTCCACGGTGGGGCACCCAGAATCCTCCAGGTAGGCTCCCTTGTCTCACTCATTGTGGGATCTCCTTGCCCACTCCATAGCAGACTTCCCTGGTCCTCTCTGGCATGAACCCCTTGTCCCTTCTGCTGTGGGGTCCCCTGGCCCCCTCCATGACAGGCTCTCCTGATGCTGATGGAGCAGTGGATAAAGCATTTGGCTGCTGGCCACATGCAACCCTTCTGCCCCTCTGCGGGAGAAAGATGTGGCAGCCAGTTCCTGTCAACATGACAACCTTGGGGACCCATGGGCGGATCTACCCAGTCCTATAGCGTCTCTATGAGTTGGGACCAACCTGATGGGAATGGGTTTGGTTTGGGGGGAGCAAAAACTGATGGTCAGGCCTTTCTTTGGAGGCACCACTGGGGAAGTAGGGGGTGGGGGGCGGTCCACCAACTTTAGGTTAGCCGATGCCTGCAAGCCATTTCCTTCTTCGATTTTGGCTCAGGCGGTACAGATGGTCTTCATTTGAAGTTGTTATTGACATGCTTCCCAAGACATAAAGATCTTTAACACACAATCATGTCCACTGCAGTGTTGTTCAGCAGAACAGTAATCTCGA